TGTATGTGTAAGTATATTAGTGTATCAGCTATACTGACATTACTGAGGCCCTTTACAACCTCTTATCTCTTTAGCATTTGCTGTTATCCTGAGACTTCCGGCCAAAGTGGGTGGTGTTCCAAAATAAGTTCCTCACTGCAAGGCTATGATTAGAAGTAGGTTGAGGTTAGAGTTTAATGACTGCGGTTAAAGGATTGTCCCCCAATAGGTTCTGATACCAGCCCGGCGTTATCAGCGTCACCTGAAGCCTATCAGTTGTATTTACTGCAGTCTCCATATAAAGCCTGTTTACTAGAGGGAGCTCGCAGCGTGTGAGCGGGGATTACTCGGTTAATCAGCGTTCATCTCAGTAGTAGCGGTTGTGGGTAATATAGGTCGGCCGGTCTAGCCCGTGAACTCAATCCCGGAGGCAGACACTGACTGACATCTACACCGCGGCGGACGCAGACAGACTGACACACATGTAGAAACAGACGGACTGACATATATGCAAATGAGGACACTTGCAGGGTATTATACAAGGACGCACTGACCACTCACATGTAACAGGAGGAGATCCTGTTACTCCTTTGCACCTTGACATTTTTTTTTTTTTGTTTAGTTGCATCTCTAAATAGGCCAACAATGCAGCTATTCCAGTACAGACAGTCTAGACGGCGTGTTCTGGGTTGGGACAATCAGTTGTCGTGAGAGCCACCTCATCAGACTATTATACAAGCTCGTTTTTGGCTCGGTTCGTGTGATGAATGCCAAGACTGCGTTTGGGTGTTTCTAAAGCAGGTTAATGATTCAGCGGAGAAAATATGTTTCAGGACGTTCGCTGGGGAAAGGATGTGTAAACATACAGGAATGAGGGACACGAGGGAAACGCTTCTTACATCTAAAAATGTGTTTTAAATCAGATTTGAACCTGAAAATGTGAGTCTGAGGCACTGTGTGTGACTTGTACCACCATGAAAATGGCATTTTTGCTGCTTCACGGAACAAATTCAGCTTTTTTTAAGGTTGTCTGAACAAGAAAAATTAGACCTCTGGATTCTTCAAGGCAGAATCGGGTCTGTTGCTTATCAAAATGAAGAGCAGCTGGTTTGTTTGAACTGTTCATCTGTAGTGAAATTGATTAGATGAAGAGGGAGGCTGACGTTAACCGCCTCATTACAGTGATGTGTAATGTCTGTAGCTTTCACATTAAAATACTAAACAGAGACAATGTTTGTTTTAATCAAATAGTCTAATGTTTAAAGTGCAGATGTAGTTATTAGTATTAGTTAGAAGTGATAGAAGATCTTATGTAAAAGCAACAATAACTCTAACTACATAATAAGTTTAAGAAAAATCTGTCCCAAGCAAAAGTTGTGAATTTATATTTTTCCTTTAAAGTGAAAGTACCTGTAATGCAGAATGACATATTTCAGAGTAATCTACAGTATTGGATTATATTTACTGATGCATTAATGTGTTCATCACTTTAATAATAAATCTAGTAAAAGCGATTAAACAACTTTAAAATGTTTATCTTCTGTGAATTTCCCTTATCAATAATGCTTTATGGTAATCTATAATATTACATCAGAGTTTACTAGGTGGTTATATTTTGTATTATTGATCTGAATATGCAAAGTAACTAAAGCTGCCAAATATTAGTCGAGGAGTAAAGCAAAGGCCATCTCTGAACCGTAGAGAAGTAAAAGTATAGCTACCAAGTGCAGTGCTTGTAGTTTAATTCAATCCATATTTAAAGTGACTAAAACAAGTTTCTATCGTCAATTCATGATTTATAATCCATATAATTGTGTCTTAAAATCCTGAAAGCTGACAGACTGACATCGACCAGACTTTGACGTTATCATTTATTTAGTTTATATTCTCTAAGTTGACCAACTGTGAACACAATGTTCAGACAGTACTTACTGAGGTTTAAATGGATTTTAAATCACCTTCATTATGAAATCTGGTGATTGCAGAGCTCTTCTTGTCCAGTGTTAAAAGTATTTTTTTTATAAGGACAGTCCAGGATTAAAGAGAGACTCCTTCAGTCATGAAACTGATCCGGCAGAGCTAAACAAAAACCACATCATAGAGCTGCACTAACCCTGGGCTTTACAATAAATCAAAGACTTGGTTGACTCAGAGCTTTAGACACAGTTTCATAATGGTTTCTCATCTATTTGAGACCACAGCTTCAGTTGTTAATATCTACAGTAAGTTTGTGTCGAGGCTGCAAGGTGGTCCGGTGGTTAGCACCGTCGCCTCGCAACTAGAAGATCGACGGTTCCTGTGGAGTTTGCATGTTCTCCCCGAGCAGCGTGGGTTCTCTCCAAGTTCTCCAGCTTCCTCCCACACAGTCCAAAAACATGCTGAGGTTAACTGGTGATTCTAAATTGTCCGTAGGTATGAACAGAGGCGATCTAACTTCTGAGGGGCCCCAAGCAAGAAGCACATGGAGGCCCTCCATACGCTGATGACGGATGGATGGATCTTCTTTTGGAAAATACAGTAATGGATGAGTTTTATTGCTGAATTGTGGCTCATAAAGAAAAACATCTTGACGTTAATCTGGAAAACACACATAATTAGAATCGTTCCTAATACATTATAAAACTACAGCACAAAAGAGTCGTAAATATGTTTTATTTTGTCATAGGTTGAATTGTATGTACAAGAACAGGTAAAAAATGACCGTTCAGTCTCAGATGACATCACATGGCACCAGGTTAAATGACGACAGAAGGGTCTTCTCCACTGCAGGAATCAGGAACCTTCAGAGGAAACTATTTAACTCCCCTGAAAGTCCCTGCCCAGCTGGTGAGACCAGCGTTGCAGCACTGAACATTTCTACAGGGTCACATACAGCGTTTAGTTTTATCCACTATAAGGCAGCCGTGGACTGCAGGAGCTCGAGGTGACGCAAATATTTACTGGAGCCGATGTGTAATCAGCCCTTTTCAGCCTTTCACCATCCACTGCGGTGCAGAATCCCACAGCTTCTAATGCGATGTCAACTTCGAGTTCACCAAAACAACTATAAATAGCAGCGACTGGATGCAACTCCAGTTCAACGAACACAGATACAGGAAAACAGAGGGTTCGTTAGATTACGTCATGTGTATTTTACAGTTAAGACGTTTGAGAGGAGAAAACTCAACAGGGACACTGAGAGGGCTGTCATTTCTAGGATTTAAATTTGTCAAGGTACTTTTTGTAAAATCAGCCCTGGATGAGGTTGTACTAGAGTGTTCCTGTGCTCAGGTTCTACTTCGGAAAATGTGTTTAGTCGTGCAATGAAATTACTGTTCCCTAATCTCTGCAGGTCTTTAGACCACAATGCCACACAGACAGACAGAGGTCTAAAGGAACCTTTTAGTTCATGTCTGTGAAGACTCTCAGTCATCCAGGTCATGGTTGTTCTCGTAGTTTAATCGTAGCAACTGGACTTGCTTGAGTTCCTTGAAGATGTTCCACCGCTCATCCAAGAGGCTTCATCAGTTCTGACTGACTAGTTGGGAGTTCCAGATACTTATATCCTTAAGGAGCCTTGAGTTTTGGTTTCAATTGGGGGTTTGTTGCTCTTGACCCCCATTAAGCGAGTCGTTAGTACTCCCCCTGCCACAGTGGGGTTCATTTGGGTCTTTTTTAGGGTCACTCGTTATGTGAGAGGGAGGAGCAACAAACCCCCAGTTGAAACTGAAACTCAGGTGTTCATGGCTTCTTAAGGATATCAGTATCTGGAACTCCCAACTAGTCAGTCAGACATGATGAAGCATCTTGGATGAGAGGTGGAACGTCTTCAAGAAACTCAAGCAAGTCCAGTTGCTACGATTAACCTATGAGAACAACCTTTTAGCTCCTTTAAAAAAAGTCTTGGGAGTTACTTGGGTGGACACATGCTGCTCAGTTGACTGTATTTTGGCACAATGAAGCTTCCACAGGTGTCTCAAATCCAACAAACACTGTATTGAAAAACACTGATATGTACAGTTTACAGTTTAAAAGAATGATACAGTCTGATTTTGTTTTTAACTACAAGTTGAGATACAGGAAGTTATCTTATCTTTTTGTCAACAGTCAAGTACGTTGGATGCCAACACCATCAGAGCATAACAGGCGGGTTATTATTATCTGTTTAGATGAGAAAAATGTACAAAACTGGGTCTCAAAAACAAAGCCGGTGCATCAGTCTTGGATCTTGAGAATGCTCCTCTTCTCCAGATCGTTCATTTCTTTGAGAATCAAAGCCACGTTGTAACGAAGTTCCTGGAATTTCGACACGGGCACCTGGAGACGGAAAACAACAATGCAGCATGAAAATAACAGCAGAGGCGGAGCTAAAATAATAATAGTAGAGCTGCACACCTGTTGGCAGGGTGTGTAACTGATGTTTAAAAATGTAAATATAGTCACTGTCAGAGTGAACAAAAACCTGCAATTACACACTGAAGCCTCTCCTCATACAGTGAAAATGGACCACAAGCAAAACAACAGGCTTTTATTTATAACTCCTCTCATTTGTGTCCCTCGCATCGCCGCGTTAAAAGCTCCAAACTGAGCGTGAGTCATCATGCGTTTGCAGCTGTATCGGAGATGACACTTGTGCTAATTAAAAGACAGAGAGCTGCGAGAAGCTGAAGCCATCTCTTCTGGGGGGTTTTATTTGCATTCTCTTTTAGTTCCAATTCCTGAGAAGCACGTATCAGGTGCAGATAAGGTGCATCCGTCAATAGAGTCTGCCCATCGGATGTTGTCGCCGCTAATCTTGTAATTCGGCTGTAATCTGATTATGTAACCGCTGGTCCGGCGTCACACATAGTAGGAGTCCTCCTCCTCCTCCTGCCTCTGTCCACATTAGCAGCCTACGTTGGAGAGGCTAAAGTCTCGAATGCAGATTTTATTCTGAAATTATGAGGCAGGTGTGGAGTATGGCGCCCCCTACTGAGGATGCATGTTTAAGTAACTTTGCAGAGTTTCTCATGTTTGTTTGCTCAGTTTTAGTTTTCAAATCAGTCATAACTAGTTGCTATCATGTTCTGTGACTACATTTATTAAATAGAAGTTAAAGAGTTACAGGCAGAATAAAAAACCTCATTTACAGTCACACTGCTGCGTCTTTGTCTTATTTGTGAACCAAGCGACGTGGATTCTTTACTCCAGTTTGATCTAAACTGTGTCAAACTATATAAGTGGCACTCGGTCAGGGGCAGGTTGGAGGTTGGACCGCAGTTAATAGACGAAACTTCAATTATTCCACTGTGATCCTATTATGTAACTGAAACAGACCTACATTAGTCCGCTGGCCAGCGACCAGCTGCTTTGACCCACAGGCTGAAGATAAACTGGGAATACGAGCTGCAGCACACAATTAACACCATGTGGGTGAAACGTAGATAATCTAATGATGCAGTCTGGAATTAATTCAGTCTGTAATTCTACCGCAGCTAATATGAGTTCTGAGGTTTTAATTGGGAGGTTTAAGGAGGATGAAATGAAGAGCTCGTGAAATGTAGACAAACACATTTTTAAAAGACAATAAATAGTATAAATAATCCTGTTTTATGTGTGTAAGAGTGAAGAGGATGATGCCGTATGTGTGTAATTGTATTTTAGACATTTTGATCCCTTTTAAAGGCTTGATTCAATGATTTATTTAGATTTATTACAACTTTAAGCTATGCCTAACACCTGTATCTGTGTGAAAGGCAAAGAAGACGCCCTCGTCAACTCCTAAAATCCATATTTCTGCTGACAAGCTACAAGATAAACAGCACAACTACCAAAAACTGTGATTTAAAGGTGAAGAGTTGAGGCATTTTTCGGTACTAGTACCAACATGGAATAATGAGACTCCTGTGGTTTGTAAACTAGATGCAAAAATTCAGAATTAAATTGTAGAGTCAAATGTAAAACCAGATGCACAATCAGGAACAAGTCAGTCGTTGATGTACCTCAAAGCGGTGAAAACTCCCGTCTGATAGTTTCATCTGCATGAGAACAGACGGCTGCAGGGCTCTGGCTAAAGAGCTGGAAAAAAACACAACGATGAAAGCAAGTAGGAAAATTATACTTATTTTTTTAAAAAAGACTTTGAAATTGTAGTTAACAATTTGACATTTTTGTCTTTGACACCAGATGCTTCTTTCTGAGGTGCTGCTCTGCTGCCTGAACCAAAGATCAGCCATCAATCACATGGTTTCTAATATGGATAATACTGAGGAAAGATCTATCAGAGAAATGTACGATTAACTCGTCACCACTGCATTATATCAGTCAGTCACAGTTATTCAGAAGAGTTACAGTCATCAGTATGTTTCTCAACATCTTCCGTCTGTTCTTCGGTGTCTCACCTCGTAGAAATGGCCACATCCACTCTCCATTTAAAGTCTGTCACTGTGGGGAGCTGAGGGTCTTTCTGGGAGGCAGCTGCTTCTAGAACTGCACGGCTAAAAGAAAGAAAAAACAAACACAAAGAGTGATCTAACACTGTATCTGACTGCAGCACTGTGTGGAAACACAGAATCTAGAATCATCTTGAAGTGTCTTTGTGGGGGACAATAAATGTACAAACATGTAAACTGTCAGATTGTAAATTCAACGCACCGATTTCCAAAAACTACGCTGCAGAAATCGGCGATGAAGTCTTCGGGTATCCTAATGACGAAACAAAACAGAAACGATGATTCCAGCATTTTCAGAGCGAGTCGTGTTTATTAGAAGAAGGAATAATAATGAATGAAAACAGAGAAATGGGAGAATGATGGTCCTTGCCTTAGTTCTCTTAGATCTTCCTTAAATGCCTAAAAAAGACACAAACAAAATGTTAATTCATATTTTACTTAAGTTAAAATACAATCACAGTGTACAAGGTGAAGTTAAACATTTACTTAAAAAAGGGTGTCTTAATTTTTTAGGATGATTAACTTCCTGCTCAGAAATATTTAATCAGAGATAGAAAAGTGCATTTACTTATTTTAGAGCAAAACCGAGTTACTTGTACTTTATTGTGCTGCTTTATACTACATCAACTCCACTGCAATTCAGAGACAAATATTACTTCTAACTCCTCTAAATATGTCTAATGACTTTAGTTACTTTGCAGATTTAGTTCACTAACACCAAACATAATCAGCAAATAAAACTTAGTTTTAAGGTAAAACTTTATTGATCCCTCAGAGGAAATTCACACACTAACTAGCAGATGAACTTATAAAATAGTTCAATTTCCTTTATCTGCTCCAATCTTAAAGTGATGCACACGTTAATGCATCAATAAATAATAAAATAATACAATACACATTATTCTGAAATGTGCAGGTACTTTTACTTTTAGCACTTGGAATATATTTTGATGCTTTTATCACTTTAGCACATTTTTAATCATATTACACTTTGTTGTGCATTCTGTACTTTTTCTTATTTCTTATTCAATTGTATGGTCACTTTGCTCGGCTTACTACTGTAACAACAGAATATCTCCATGGGGATCAATAAAGTATTTCTATTTTATTCTATACTATTTTTATACTTTCATGTAAATAAAATGTTAATGTGTGACCTCTTTGGCATTAGTACTTTTACTTAAATACAACATCTGAATACTTCTTCCACCTCTGTCAGCTCTACTGAGGTGCCCCAGTGACCCATCACAGTGTGACTATGACCCGGCATGAACACCAGGACCCTGAGACTGAAGCGTCTAAATGGAATTCATCATAAAATGCACACTACAACAGTGTGTTTCAGTATAAAACCTCTAGTGCTTCAACACCAGCTCACCTCCTGTTTAAGTAGCGGCGTTGGGATGCGGATGGCCTCAGACAGAACTCTGTGCATCCCGGCTATGATGTGACTGAGCCTATCCTGCGGGATGACGCTGCTCTCTGCGATCGACTTCATCACCTCTCTGCAGTCCTTCCCCTCCAGAGCACTGACCACAGCTGGATAGAAGACAACCCACAGACACATCCAATAGACAGAGGCACCGGGGAGGTCACTATTCTCTTAGATTTTTCTGGATGCCCTGCATAGAGGCTGACTTCACGCAATGTCCTTCTCACAGTCAAAGAAACTGTGCCGAGGTGTGCCAGGTCTGAAGCACTCGCCTCTCGAACACTACACTACGCTGTACCAAGAACAGAGACACTAGGGTTCATTTCATACCTCCTGATTGTTGCTATAACTGCATTTCCACAGAGTTCTAGTTGCTCACTGATTTTCCTGTAACCTCTTTCATCTTTGTGAAGTCTCACAAGCAGGTATTTTAGTTCCCTTTAGACTCCATGTGGAGCCAAGATGCAGACATGTAGATAGACACAACCCAGAAAGTTGTTGTGTTCACAGCTTATTTTATAACTGTGTTCATACAGTTAGGATAATTGAAAATCACATGCTGCTCAGTTTAGTTTCAGTGATCACATGTTTTCTTTGCTGCATTGAGCTGTCTACTTTGGTTGCTGTATTTTCAGTATACTCTTTATTAAGTACACGTTCTTGATTGGGGGAATACTGTCCTTGTTAGCTTAAAAATAATGCAATTATTGTGCGATAATAGATTTTTGAATCATTTGGTTATATTGCGCAGGGGTTTACTCACTTCTGTTGTATTTAAACAGACAGACATGCTGTACAGATAACTGCAATAAAATACATTATGAACAACAACGTTTAGGATAGCTGGTTTAGAGAGAGAGAGTTAAATCATATCGTGGCTAATTTTCTTTACCTTTGAGTATTTTTCTGAAAAGCTCCTGGTCCACATCCTTCAGGTTTTTCGACATCGACTCTATTTCTAGCGGTATTCTTCCTCCCAGGAAGGAAGGGTCCTTTGCGTGGCTGGAAGACATCACTAACGGAGCAGTAACATGCAGCGTGAACAGACAGCAGAATTAGAAATGTAAGAACAACCGTCTGTGTTGTGTTTTCTGCCAGTTTTTTCTGTTGATGCGACAACTTCCGCCTTCATGTCACATGACCCGCGGGATCTTCCGGGAGTCTCGCGGTGACAGCTCTGCTGAGATCATCGACGGAAAAGAAAGGATTCGCAAATGGAGGTGGCAGAAATGGTCGCTGTTTAAACGACAAAAGGTTGGTATTTTACCGTCGATGGCTTCTTAATTTCAACCTCACCTGATCGGTGAACCGCTGTGGTTTGTTATCGCGGGGAAAATATCACTTATCTGCGGGTTTGTGGTCGGTGAAGGCTACGTGGAGATTTGGAGCGTTAGCAACCAGCTAACGACGCTAGCTGGTGTTGTGTTGTCACAGGCTTAATGTTCACGTTTTCTAAACACGGCGCGGTTTACGTAACTTATTCTCAAGCTAATGTAGCTAGCTTCTTTCCATGTTGGACTTTTATTTCCCTTTCCCTTTTATTCGTGGCGTTATCTTTACAGTGACTTACAGCATTTCACGCTGTTTACGAGAGTTGAATGCGTAAAGTATGCGCTATCTAACAGTGTCAACAATTAGCACGAGCGATGTCGCTAACACACTTAGCAGGTAGAAGACAACATCGCGAGTTTGTAGTTTAATTAGCCTTTAATTAAGCCATTAAACCAACGTTTTCTCTCTAGTAAATGTCCTCCTGGCTTTATATGCTTTACAGGTTTTATTACTCGCTAATATTTAAATAAAATAAAGTTTTTCCTTTGAGTAACTGTGCGATGTTATTATTGTAGGTACAAACAGTAAAGCGCAGTTAAACGAAATCCTTTAAAAACATTCAAATGGATCATAGTTTTTTGTCTCCTTTATGTGCCAATGTGATGCCATATACACCATATACTGTGATTTTAGTCTTGCCTTACTGTTGATTTTAATCATTTTGTAGGTTTATTATGATGAGTGCAAAATAACTCAGCTTATTACTATTATTATTATTATTATTATTATTTTTGTTGTTGTTGTTATTATTGTACTGTGGTGCGATAACGCAACATAGAAAGAAGTACAGTTATTTTACTGGATGCAGAGTTCATCCCAAATGATCAGCAGCTGAATTTTGTAGGAAATAATCACTTCAACCCAATAAAACGAGATAAAATGTCACATCAAATACATGATTGTGCTCATTTTCCTCTTAAAAAAAAATAAAATTCTGCAAGCCTGTTAGAGTTTGGGGGTAAGAAAGAAAAGCTAATGTTTCATTTCAGTCAATTGCAATAAATATTTGTCAATTTCCTGTTGAGAAAATGGGTTAATGTGAATGTAAACACCTTACATTGAATTTAACCGCTTTAGCCTATTTATCAGAATACACAGGTGTTGATTTTAATGTTAGCTCAACAATGATAATACAGACGTGTATATACATAAAATATAAAATAGGATACATGAATGAGTTCACCCTGATGCACGTTAAACAAAGAAAGCAGTTAAAACCCAGAGGAGTATAAAGGGAGACCAGGCTGAGTCACTGCACCGTACTGAGGTTAAGGTTCCCAGTGGCTGGCTCAGACTGGGTTTTACTGGACGGGCCTCCCACGGTAGGTCTGTCTGCCCTTGAAGCAGGCTGCTGGGAGCCCACTGGTTGGGGGCGGTGGTGGTAGACAGCAGGTAATGGGTGTTTTTAGGCCTTGAAGGAGATATGAAACGTTGTCTTTGAGCCAGACATGGAGAATGCTTGTGGTCTGTTTATGCAGCTGAAGTTTGCTTTTTATTATGTGCATCAGTTACTTTTAAGTGAACGTGATGAACATTCTATCAAATGCTTCTCCTATAGCTGTTGATTAAGTGTCTATCATGGCTACATTTTGCTTTTTCACACAGACCGAATGCCCGTCCAAAGTACACATTTGTTACCAGTGAAAAACAGAAGAAAATGTTACTCTTTAATTTAAAAAAATGATATAATCGTCTCTATTTTCCTGAAACTTCCAAACATTTACAGTAAAAAGAACTCTCAGACCTAAAGGGATGCTTCATCAACTTTATTACCAGCACAGAGATGGAGTATTTATGTTGAGGACAAGAATGATTTTTTTAAACTGTGCTGTATGTCGTTAACTAAAGAGGCCCAACAGAATTTGTCTGCACTTGTAGTTAGTTGTCTAGCTAATGTTTGCTAACACAAATATTCAAAACCTCAGTTGTGTGTTTGTTGTCTAAACTCTGCCACCAACAATTCTGTTTACAAAAAACTTTAAATTACATAATTATATGGACACAGCCACAAACACTACACGCTGTGTTTGTGGAGCTTTCTTTGAAAGTCCGATGTGTTTATTCTACCATGTGGTAATTATTGAGGCTGTAGCTGTATTGAAAGGCACCCTGTTATTTTTGTCTTATCGTTGCCTCTTCTCCTCTTTGTCAGGTACACCTCACCATGTCTGAATCTCTGTATGAGAAGTTTTTGGCGCCGGAGGAGCCTTTCCCTCTCCTCTCCCAAAGAGCCAACCTCAGCGATGTGGGAACCCTGGATGTCAGTGACTTCGGCTGTCAGCTCTCGTCTTGCCACAGAACGGATCCTTTGCACCGTTTCCACAGTAACAGGCGAGTAGAGCGTGTGTGTTTGTGTGTGTTCATACATGTTAGTCACCTGGCTGTGAGGTAAGCTGACTCTCAGGAGATGAAAGATCAGCCATTACAGCAAACGCTGCTGCAAATGGCACCTTACTGTGCTGCTGAGAAATGCTAATGTTCTTGTCAAGTCGCTCATTTTATGCTGATAGTGGCCGTAAATACATCTGTACAGTGGAAGTGCTTTAGTATGAATATATTAAGCTTATATGTTTAATCCAGACATACAGGACAAGGCTGGCTGTAAGACACACGTTTTGCAGTTGTTGTTTAAAAACTTCAGGCTTTCCCCTATCCAAAATCTGTCACTGTTAGAGGAGTAGATTTTATCTGTATTATCTCCAAGGATTTGATTTGCAAGCAGTAGTTAGTCATCAAACATCTTCACACTTAGTAACGCAATATATCAATAAATAACAACAACAGTAAAGTCATTTTAGGACAGTAGTCGATAGATAATACTAGTAGAAAAGATGGATAATAACTACACTGTGAAAGTGGCAAGAAAATAAACGTATTCTTCTATAAAATGCAGTGTCTCATGGGACAAAAGATCCCAAGTATCTGCTGGTTTTAGCTGGACGTCGATAGATATGTTTTTGTTTTTTGCAGATACTGATACCAGGTGTTAGTATTTAAGGAGACCTTTGACTGAGATTCCAAACCGTGGAGCTAAAACACATTTGTAGTGAAAATAAAAACTCTAGAATAAGACAAAACTTTGCTGAAATGCTTTTATTTATCTTTGACGTGTGTCTGATTAAAAAGGAGCTTTTCCAGATTTATTCTTCAGTTTCCACGGCGTGGAGCAAATCAGATTAGATCAGTGCTTTGGGTGGGATTACAGATTCACTCCGGATAAGGAGAGGCGGCTGCTTCAGAGCCAAAGTGGTGCATTTTTACATTCATTTACTTTATTGGGAATCAGTTTTTAGAAGTTAGAACACCGACAATTAGAAAAACTTTGAATGCTGGATAAGGTCATTTGTCAGGTTGAAAATCTGTCGATGTTTTTGATCATTTTTGAAAGTATTAAAACTGTGTTTATGATGGATGTGACTTTATTATTATGTGTGGGGATGTGAGGCTGGACAGATGTGCGTGATCGCCCTCTAAATGCCAAAGAACCACATTTAACATGTAGCTGTGCGTCTTCTTGTCGTCTTTATAATTCTCTTCAGTAAAGTGGAAGGAGTCTAACATGTTCCATGAGTTACTGTGTGGATATTTACAGATTACAGCCCGTGCGTAGTGATTCCACTGCCAAAAGCCTCTGGCACTGATAATTGCTGCTATTAGGAAACTGTAAGAGCAGCATTTTAGCCTCTTCATTTGAAGGCTTAGTTATCCTCACTGGACTGACTCCTGCATCTTGGTTTTTTGTTTGTAATATCCTTTTGTTAAGATGGACTTTGTTTTGTGTTTCTCAAAGATTCAGTTGTTTGAAAGGCTTCTACTCATCTGTATTCTGTATGAACAGCACTCCCTCCTGTACACAACAAACACACATGACTGCAGCTCTTGCACAAAGAACGCTGCACTTTAGCTTCACTACCTCCTCATTACTTAGTTTTTTTAAAGAATGTTTTTTTGTTATTGCAGTCTTGTGAAACAGACACTTTGCATTTCACTGCACATATCGTATGAGCATGTGACAAACAGAACTCCTGAATTTTGAATCTTATCTGGGAGACGATCAGCACAGTTTTCCAGAAATGACTCAAATCATTGAGTCCGACTGTTTGCTCTCTCCAGGTGGAACCTCACGTCCTGTGGGACCAGCGTTGCGAGCTCAGAGTGCAGCGAGGAGCTTTTCTCCTCCGTGTCTGTGGGGGATCAGGACGACTGCTACTCCCTCCTGGATGACCAAGAACTAACGTCACTGGATTTGTTTCCTGAGGGCAGCGTTTGCAGCGATGTGTCCTCCTCCATCAGCACATACTGGGACTGGTCTGACAGCGAATTCGAGTGGCAGGTAGGTTATTAGCTGGTCTGTGGGCCAATTTTACCTTTGATTTTTACATATTAGAAGTGCTTAATATATATTCTGTACGTACTATATGCTTTGAGCCATCAGAACATGGATGGATGGGTTTTTTTTCACATCTAACTGTGACTGCGAACCCTTTCTTCACACCTTATTGTTGATCTGTCCTTATTGTTGTCTCCCAGTTGCCAGGAAGTGACATTGCCAGCGGCAGTGATGTCCTCTCTGACATAATCCCGAGTGTGCCGAGTTCACCGTGTTTGTTTTCTAAGAGGAAGCCGAAGCCTCACCCTCATCGCAACCTGGATGAGCTGCCTTGGAGTGCCATGACCAACGATGAACAGGTAAACAAAGCCAACGCACCTTTTTGTGCTCAGAATTAGCACTAGTGCCGCTGAAAAGCTCAGTCATGCCGCTATTTTTGCATTGTTTTGCAGAATGTGTCAAGGTTTTCTCTGGTAATGCATAATGATAGACTGACAGTGACGCCCGGACGACAGAGACAAACCCGTGTGTGTTTTTCTGCTTTCAGGTGGAGTACATTGAGTACCTGAGTCGGAAGGTGAGCACAGAGATGGGCCTGAGAGAGCAGCTGGACATCATCAAGATCATCGATCCCTGTGCTCAGATTTCTCCCACCGACAGCGAGTTCATCATCGAGCTCAACTGTCTCACTGATGAGAAACTCAAACAGGTGAGGACCGACCCTGAAACCCACTGAAAACTACCGTAGGATACTTTTACGTCACACGTAGCCTCGTACTGAGATCAATCAAGTGATTAATTGATTAATTTCTGTATTTGTTTGTCATTTTTATGAGCATTAAAGTCTACATTTGCTGATTCCATCATCTCTTATGCAAAGATTTTATGATTTTGTTTGCCATAAAGGAGAAAAAACTAAGCACATAACCTCTTAATTGGATTGATCGAGGGATTCATTGATTAGTTTCTGATTAGTTTAAGCATAACTGAAATCAAGAAATTAGATGAAGTCACCTTTTGATATTTTTTTGGACATCTTCTTATTGTTTTTATTGACACTGTTGATCAAAGAAATAATCAACCATTAATGAATAAACATTAGTCAGTATTTGCAGCCTGAGACCAAACTCTGAGTAATCAAAGTAAAAAACATTTTAAATTGACTCATGTATAATATATAACAGCTGTCGTTATGGATTTTTTTTCCTTCACTGTCACTGTTTCATGAGCATCAAAGTCTGATTACTGACAGTTTAGAATTTTATGCTGTAAATGCCGGTGAAGAGTGAAGTTAAATGCATGTTTGTCATTTAAGGCCACAATCAGCAAACCAGAGGTGACTTAACACGTCCATTATCTCTGTATGTCAAACCCTCGGTTAAAGAAAAGTTGAGTTTGCGTGCAGTGCATTAGTTTCCTCTCTGATTTCGCTGAATTCTCTGTTATTGACCTGCGTGACGTCATCAGGTGCGTAACTACATCAGAGAGCACAGCCCGAGGCAGCGAGCCAGCAGCACCAGGGAGAGCTGGAAGAGGAGCAGCCACAGCAGCGCCAGTACAGGCGGCGTCAGCGGAGCCAGCAGCAGTAACGCCAGCATGGTCAGCTCCGCCAGCTCCTCCACCGGCTCCACGGCCTCCAACTCTGTAGCAGGTAGGATGTGACGCTGTTGACCTGCACTAAAGTGACAGTGATGGTGACACCAGCAGAGGAGCCTGCAGGAATGTCACAGATCCAGAGAGGCACATCAAGTGTTGAAATAATAATAATAAAAAAAAGTAACAAGCACAGTTTGTTTGTTTTTTACATCTTCCTGGTTGTAACACTGTTTCTCATATGGTCTTGTGTTCCAGGTGGAACAGCCTCAGCCTGCAGTGGCAGCAGTGTGGCCAACATCAGCCGAGCTCACAGCGATGGCAACCTGTCCAGCGCTGCAGAACGCATACGAGACTCTAAAGTAAGAAACATGAACGTGTCTATGTAAAAATGATTTGTATAACATCCATATTGTCCTGGTTATCAATGTGATTCCAGTGTGATGCTTTTATTACATGAAGTGTTTCTGACACACGGACATGACAAAAAACTTTTTTACAGGCTTCTTAGTCAAAGTATTGATCAGGCCCAAAACTATTAATCAGAGACTTCTAGTACTGATGGTTTGATGAAATTCAAAGTAAGAGACTCCTAAACAGGATTTCTAGAATTTTGACTTTTCATAATTAGAATGAGAATAAACATGATCGACTGCAACATTGATGTTTATAATGAGCTCCGCTCATAGAAAAGTCTCCGCTAATATGAAACAGCTCATGTAGATACAGTCTCATGGTTTCAGCTTCAGTAAATCCAACATAAGACCTGATTTCACTCTCTTCAGATATTTCTTGGTCATCTGAGCTGTTGCTCTGCAGTCAGTAAATGGAGACTAGAAGCTGCCTGGTTATAGCCTCTACCTTAGCCTGAGGCGTTTATTGAACATTGGTAAACTGTTCTGTGTATTGATAAGTCGATGTGGATACAACTTAAAGAAGAACATTATTTTAAGTCATATTTTGATGCAAAGACGGCTGCATTAGCAGGAATGTAGCACAACATGAACATGAAAGCAGTGCTCTGCTTATTTAAATCTGAAAGTGCCAAACAAAAGTGTCTCTACAATCAATAATCATGACCACAATATTACAATCAAGCAGCTCTGTACCACAGAAACTATCATTCAGCAGCATTACGGGGACGCTTCACAAACACAGCAGAGCTTTATGTTGGCCTGTCATCATGAAACCACTGTTAACTGTTGCCTAATCATTTGTCGTGAGGAGAATGATCAGATATGGCTGGTCTAAGTGATTTAGCAAATTTCACGAGCTCAGTGTGACTGAATATGTTTTTCAGATTCACACACTGTAATTGTCACTCTTGTGAAATATGCTTTCAGTGTGGATCCTGTCTGTCATTAGCAAGTACAGCAGCACTGTCAGGCTGAGGTGGACAACACACACAGAGGGCAGGAAAGACAGGATCTGACTTTGACTTTATTTTGTCCTGGATCAGCTGTGATTCTTCACATTGATCCAGAACATTTCTAGTCACAGCTATAATCCTGGGCTGTTTCTCACCAAACTCTACCACATACATGTCAGTTTTCCTGTAACAAATACATTCTAGGTGTCCTCACTAACTCCTCTCCTCCCTTCCTGTCCTACAGAAACGTTCGAAGCAGCGTAAGCTCCAGCAGAAAGCGCTCCGGAAGCGTCAGCTGAAAGAGCAGCGACAGGCTCGAAAGGAGCGACTCAGCGGCCTGTTTCTGAACGAGGAGGTGCTGTCGCTACGGGTGACGGAGGAAGACGACCACGGTGACGACCTGGACATACTGATGTGACACCAGTGAATCAATCAGTGCTCCCTCTACGCCTGCTCTCTCGCCACCTAGCCAGTAGCATAGAGCTTATAGACCGCGCTAACCCACATCGCTGCATGCATCGGCTCTGAATAGGCTAACACGCTTAGAATGCATTTTGTAAGAGTAACGTGCCAGGCAGTATTAGCTTCTAGTCGCCGATAACTTAGCTTAACATATTGTTTGCTTACAGTAGTGCTTCAAATGCTAGCTGCTGCTATTCTTACCAAGCTAGTCACAGTAACGATGCTAAAACACTGCTAATGCTTTGATAAGACTCAGTCTAGCCTGCTGCTAGCCAAAGGAGGCTAACGCTGCAACAGCCTAGAAGCTCGCAGACACAAATGAACCTACACTACTAAACACAGTTATTTCAGCTTAATACAGTAAACAAGAGGATTGCTTCTAGATGCTGTGACATCAGCGTATGTATTCACTGCTACTAATACAGCCACCACAGGCAGGAGGACAGATCAGGGAAGAGAAGCAGAGTTTGGCGGTTTTTGTTTCTTCACACCACCACAGAGGGAACTTTAGGAACGATTTGGTGGCATTTTGGCTAATTTGCAAACAATCGACAGGACGTTATCTGCGCTTGCCAAACTCTGTTCGTCTGTGGATCAGGTTAAACTGCTGCAGCAGCGAAGAATTCCTCAAGTCGTAGTCGATGTAGTGTGAATGTAAGGTGTCGGGGTTAACACGGCAGTAGACTTAATCTAAATGTGAGCGCTCTTATTGTGACGAGTTCGAGGGACTCAACGCAGAATCTTGACATTCAAACCTCACTTTTTTTCTAACAGTGAATACTTGAAGACTAATTTCAGGGAAAAAAAAAAAAGATTGTTAGTGTTGGAAAATAATAAAAAACTTACAAACGATGAAAGCTGAAGAGGTTTCTAGGTGTGAAAACTGAAGCGAGCTGGTCTGTCTTTCTATCCGCTGAGTGTCGTGGTCCCATTTCACTACCAAGGCTTAGAGGGAGCACTGAAACACTGCATGTTTAAATCGTCACCCACACCGAGTCCCCGTGTGGTCCAGTAACTAACAACTCGCGTCATCATTTGCATACACCTGTTAAAATAGCTTATCTGTGTTGTAAATAAATGATAAGTAACATCATATTTACTGCTTGCTTTCAAGTTTTCCTTTGTGATAAAGATTTAATTTTTTTTCCTTTTGTGTGTAAATATTACGACGACATAGTGAACTAATTGGTCATCACAGCTCCAACGCTTTAAACTGTCGCTGTTCTTTTGCTATTTTTTGAGTCTTACTTTGATGCGTTTCTGACATGTTTGATTTTTGTGTTTGTTTTTTTCCTGCTAACACTCCTACCTGAATGATTTAATCGTCACGATGAGGTTTCTGAGCGTTGCTTAAAGTCTTATTAGAAGTTTTTACTGATCACTTTGTACTGTATCACTGGATTGGTTTTGGCGCTAAAAACTTAAGCTGGTTTCTTAAGCATCTAACTTTGAGCCAACAACTCAGATTTCAGAGATGTGCACAGTTTGCTCCAGTAAGATTTTTCAAAGGAGAAACACAACAGAGCAGCTGTTGGTGGAGTCGTAGCTACCCTGCTGTTTTCTGATTTGCTAGATTTTGTTTCTTTGTGTTGCTTTTCTTTGTTTCTTCTCCTCCTGTTAACTTGTAAACTCTTTCCCGCAGCTCCTCGGCTGTAACGTGATGAACCGCTGCAGTTATTGCTGTCGTTTCTAATACTTTCTGTGTGCTGAGCTTCGGCTCTTCTCTCTGTCTCGTGTATAAAATCATTACAAAACTACAGCAATTATGTTAAAAGAAAAAAAAACAAAAACAACTGCTTTACGTATTCTGTAGCAATGAATTAGTAAAACTCTATTTTGAGAAATAAGATAATTTTGAAAAAAAAAATCAAAACAAGTGTGATGCAACAAAGTTCTGAGGTACCGTGTAACTGCTGACGATGAATGGTGTTAAACATGCTTCAGCAAAAGTTCAGTCTGTATGAACAGAACTTTTTGACGGAGAAAGTTCCACTACATCCATCAGTGTCATTAATAATAATAAACTCCACCAGACAGCTACGATAACAGTCGGTACACGTGTTGGTTCTTTACAGAACATTATGGAACAGTGTGTCCTGAACTTGTCTTATTGAGCAGCAGAGAAACCCTGTTAGAGCTGAAGGGAGACTGAATGCAGTCTGATATGTTGTGAACTTGACAAATAAACATACCTTGTTGCATCCTGAGGTTTTTTCTGCAAGTGTGGGTTTGTTTTTTTGACTTGATCGAGCTACAAGGTTTTATATAAGTGAACCAAAAACCAAGAGGCTGGTCTGTAATCCAGGCTTGAATAGATGTTTTTATTTTAAAATGTTTTTGTTGTACATTAATAATCATTTCTGTCCTTTAATTAGGGTCCGAGCACCCAAAAGGGTGCGAAGACCCTATTGGAACTGCTC